TATCTTCCTTAATTAGTTCAGGCTCCCCAAATTCATTGATTTTTTTTTCTACTTTTATTTACTCGTGTGTGTGTGTGTGTGTGTGTGTGTGTGTGTGTGTGTGTGTGAGAGTACCCTGTTTCTTTGAAAGGCTATACCTTTCTAATTTTTCCGAAATTAAAAAAAAAAAAGTGAAAGGCCTTTTTTTTTTTTCTTTCTAGCTTCCTTTCTTTCTTTTTTGTTTGGTTTTCAAGACAGGGTTTCTTTCTTTGTGTAGTCCGGGCTGTCCTGGAACTCATTCTGTAAACCAGGCTGGCCTCAAACTCAGCTCTGCTTGCCTCTGCTGGGGATAAGGGTGTGCACCCCCCGCTGTGAAGTGTCTTTTTCACGGGTTGTTTTTCTACTAGCTTGATGCTGTCCTCCATCTTAGGGATTTGTTTTGCTTCCAACAAAATCTAAAATAGGTGGGGGTTGGGGGAGCAGGTAAACCCTTCTTCTGCCAAATGTATCGCCCACACACCCACAATGCACCTACTTACAAAGATGAGTGGGGAAAATCAGAGCTGTAAGGGCCAGAAGTGGCCAGGGAGCACAGAGATCGTGTGTATTCATACATAGCAGGTACACAAGGCGTCTGCACCAGGGACTCAGTTTGGAGTTAATTTCAATGCAGGTACCTTTCTTTACACGTGGCATGCACGAAGCCTCAGACTGCAGTGAGGTCTCAGTAAAGGGGGGAGGGGAGAAGTAGCAGCTGACACAGGTTTGGTGATGTTCCAGGGAAGCCCCAGAAGTTAACAAATTCTATTCATTTTGGCTAAAACAGAACATAGAAAAAAAAATCTAAGAAGATTCCGTCTTGAGAATAGCCATCATTCTGGATGGGAACCAGCTCCTTTTGATATGGGAAGAAAGTGAAATACTCCAACTGATGGAATCCACCAGGCTTCTGTGGATTCCTGAGACGCCAGAAGTGAGAAGACACTGGGCAGACACTACAGTAGCCAGGCTGATGGGGAACGGCTGAAAGTCAGGGAGCAGTGAGAACAGAGATCTTGGAGTGAACTGCACAGATTTAACTCGGCGCCTCTTGGTACTGAAGAGCAACGTGGTACCCACAAGGAGTCAGGGTGTTTTCAGTGGAAAGAGCAGGCTCCACACAGCTTTAGAGATGTTACATTTTGGGGTGTGCCTGGCTTATCATCTTGGACGGCTAGGGCAGGAGAAGCAAAAGGTTCTAGACCACCTGTGCCACAGAGCAACTGCAAGGCCATCCTGTTCAGCTTAGTGGGGTCATGCCTCAGAAAATGGTTGAGTAGGTGACTCATTGGCAGAGCCTTGTCTTAGCAGGTACAAGGCTCTGGGTGCAGCCCCCAGTACTGGGTGGTGGGTATGTTTGGGATGCAGGGTGATCGTCATTGACTTAGAGCTGGACATGGGCCCCTGTCCTTAGGAAGGCGTTTGGTACTGGGCTTTGGAGTCATGCAGAGGCTATGAAACAGGCAAATCCAGGTCAGGGAAGTGAGTGAATAATAAGAGGTCTAGAGACCCAACCTGGCAGCAGGTCACAAAAGCTGCCAGGTTGAAGTTTGGAACTTCCTCTCCCAAGGTGAAACCCAATTAGAAACCTTGTCCTCCTGCCTAGATCCTTTCTCTAGCCTGAGTCGCACTTCAGAAACCTCAGTTTGTCCCAAAAAAAAAAAAAAAAAAAGGGTTTGTGGGGCCAGCCCTGCGGCGGGGGCCCACAAGGTGAAGAACAGTGTTAGCAGATTGCTCATGGTGTCTTTAACCCTCCGCTTGGGTTTCTAGTAACCGAATCCATTGTTAAAACACCAAAGGAAATTTTCTTGCTAAGTGAAGCCTGGAAGCTGTTGCTCTCTGGCAGTTTTGCTTGCTTGGCTCCCGAAGCAGGAACTGCTTCAATGTGCAGGCAGTGTTTCATGAGAACCCTGAGGGGAAACAAAATACATTTTGAGAGTCACCAAGTGGATACATGGTGGTTTCAGTGCATTCTCCTTGTGACAAGACTTGAAACAGGAGTAGCGTCTGCCAGTCGGCTCACAGCAAGGAGCTCCTATCTGGTCCCTGAAGCATCATCGTCATTGGGGGTCAAGACCTGCGAAGGCGGGACCCAGATCCAGATGTGCTCCTGCCCTCCAGATCCAGAATGCCAAGGCAGGGAGTTTGAGGCCCCAGTTCAACTTGTACATACTCTCAACTCTTCCTGGGCTTACAGTTACTTAGGGATGGCAGAGCATCAAACATTTCATGACCTGTCTCGGAGGATGCTGAAGGACACCTGGCCCCTCTTTCCAGCAAGTTCCGCTTCCCAGGGACTAGTTCTCGTTTACCTTGCTCGGCTCCCATAGAGAGCTTAACCTGATGCCTTCGAGGAGCTCCTACCAACCTTTTTAGCTGTGGCTGCTGAAATCTGTGTTACCATGAGCCAAAAGCAAGAGTCCTGATTAGCAAGAAAAACAAAGCATCCTCGGGCCAGATTCGAAGCTTGGGGTTTTGCTGTCAGGGTGATTGAAACCATGCTGTAGGGAGAGGTTTGGATGCCTAGCAGCCAAGAAAAATGCCCCTTCCCTTGCCCATACATCCTGTGTGGTCCACCTAGACTCCACTGTAGGCCTCCCCTCCCCCCAGAGAAGAGCCAGAAACCTAGCTTCTTTACCCCAGTGCACCCCCCCACACACACACAGACTCAAGCCTGCCCTGACTTCAGCCAGCCCATCTCATCCAGAGCCTGAGTGGATGCCTGCTAGACAGGTGATCATCCTAGGCCCAACATGGACACGTTATGTGTGTCAGCAGTACAGCACCTTGTAGAGTTGTTGTGCACAAACAGACTGAAGCATGTCCTCCAGGAAGATGCAGTAAAGTCCTGGAAATGTCCCCAGATGTGGAAATAGGCTATCTGCAGGTGGAGCCAAGATGAGATCACATTGGATCAGAGTGGCCCTAAATTCAGTCATTGGTGTCCTTACCAAAAGACACTTGGAGGGTGAGGGATGTAATCCAATGGATAGAGTGCTTGCCTAGCAAATATGAGAGCCATGGGTACCATCCTTAGCACAGCAGAAAGCCAGGCATGGCATACACCTATAATCTCAGGTGGAGGCAGGAGGATCAGAAATTCAAGACCAACCTCTGTTACATAGTAAGTTCAAGGCCATCCTAGGGCATCTGAGACCCTATCTCAAAAGTAGATGGAGAGGGAGAGGTAGGGATGTAGGGAGAAATGACAACAGGCAGAGGCAGTGCCACAAAGCTAGGAACACAAAGGATTTATACCAAGTACCAGGGGCTAGGAGAAAGGTGTAGCAGATTCTCCCTTAGCATAAAGAGCTAACTCTGCTAAAACGTTGGTTCCAGGTGGCCAGCCTCCAGAACTGTAAAAGACCAGATCTCTGTTATTTCAGTTTTACAGTCTGGGAATGGAACTGAGGACACTGCATGTGAAGGCAGGTACTCTGTCATTGTCACCCTTGCCTGACTCCTCTCAGATTGAAATACTTTTCCTGCAGACTCAGTAACCTCAGTGTCTGCTGTCAGTTTGCCCTCAAATCCTGCTTTGCCTGTCCCTCACCAGATGGACCTCTGTTTTAGCATTATCTCAGTTCCTTCGTGTACAAACTGGAAA